ACTACCAAGCTTGCAAACTTTGTGTTTTGTCTGCCTGTTTGTTTGTTTTTTTGTTAAGAATGTAATACAAATGTCTAGTTGCTGCTGACACGATAAATAAAATAGTCCTTAACAGCTTGTAAACTGGCTGGGATTTCTGGGAGTTGCAGGCCAAAACACCTGGGGAGACTCACACATTTAGAAAGCAATGTGTGCAACTATGTTTTCTGGGCAAGATTTTTTTTTTCCAGGCTGTGTATTTCTGCCTGCATATTTCGCACCCAGATTTTAAAAAATAATTAAACCTCTCAACAGCTAAACTGCTTTACCTTCAAAATTGGAAAATACAGTTTGTGTGAGTCAATAGGACTTTGCCCAGCAGTGTTTTCTTTCGTTTCCATATATGGTCTGCTTTTAGTGTTTATGTGGCAGGAAGTGACGATGCAGAATAATAATCATAATCATAACTTTATTTTTATACCCCTCCTCCATCTCCCCTAAGGGACTCAGGGCTGCTTACAAAGGGACTTAGTAAGGTGAGATGTACTGTAGTTTTTCTTTATTACTTTATATTATATTATTGATGTATTTAATTAGTGAGGTGGGAAGGCAACGTTAAATATGTTTAAGTGTGGGTGGGAATTTGGAGTGGTAGAGTAGCAACTGGCTTTGACTTTGGGATGCTCAGAGGATGCTTGCCATAGATGCAGGCAAAACGTCAGTAGACAATGCCTCTAGAACATGGCCATATAACCCGGGGGGGAAAACCCTACAGCAACCCATTGTTTTATTTGCTTGCTTGTTTGTTAATGTATTGTTGTATTTCTATTTGACGGGCTTGACCTCATGTAAGCCGCCCGAGTCCCTTCGGGGAGATGGTGGTGGGGTATAAATAAAGTATTATTATTATTAGGAAAACAATTATATAGCCATGCAAAAGCTTTCAGTTGTTCATTGAAATCCACTTTCAGTGGGTTTTTTTCCAACCTGTACCTTTTTTTTTGTTTTTTTGTTTGCCTTCAAATAATTTCCAGCCTATAGTGAACCAAGGGTGTTTGTACTGGGCAGGGAAATAAAAGCCCAGTAATAAAGCCACTACAACACCTACACCAGGCTGGCTCTCTGCCCATAAATAGAACATGTTTAATAATTGATTTTTTTTTCTCCACAAGCAGGTAATGGGAAAGAACTTTTATGTAGCTTTCCATGAATCCATTGGAAGGAAGCAAGGATGAAGCAGGAATAAAGTGGATCAAGTGGAAAATAAGTCAACAAGTAGGGTGAGAAAAGCAGAAGGCATTCACTGTTTGGGAAAACGCAACAATTTCAAGTACTATTGGGCAGAGCTGAGTGAGCAGAGAGCAAGAGCCATAGAAATCCATGGAGTCTGAAAATAGTATCAGTCCAACTGTTTCCTCACACCAGAGAACCCGCAGTGGGGGCAAATCATTTAAATGCACAGAATGTGGTAAGAATTTCAACTGTAGAAGTCATCTTACTCGACATCAAAGGATACATACAGGAGAGAAACCATATCAGTGCACAGAATGTGGGAAGAGTTTCAGCATAAGAGGAAGCCTTACTGTCCACCAAAGAATTCACAGTGGAGAGAAACCATATCAATGCCTGGAGTGTGGAAAGAGTTTCCGTGTTGCTGGAAGTCTGACAATACATCAACGACTTCATACAGGTGAAAAGCCTTATAAATGCACGGAGTGCAAAAAGAGCTTCCGTTTAAGCAGTAACTTACTTTTACATAAACGAATCCACACAGGAGAGAAACCATATAAATGCCTAGAGTGTGGAGAGAGCTTCAATAACAAAGGAAGTCTTACTGGCCACCAAAGAATCCATACAGGGGAAAAACCATGTACATGCCTAGTGTGTGGAAAGAGCTTCCGTTTAAGTACTATCCTTTCTGCACATCGAAGAGTCCACACAAAGAAGAAACCACATAAATGTATGGAATGCGGAAAGAGCTTCGGTTCGAGTCAAGAGCTTACTTTGCATCGAAGACTCCACACAGGAGAGAAACCATATAAATGCCTGGAGTGTGGAAGGACCTTCCGGGAATCAGGGAAACTAACTCTGCACCAGAGAACCCACACAGGAGAGAGACCATATACCTGCCTAGAGTGTGGAAAGAGCTTCCGCCAAAAGCCGCATCTTACTACGCACCTGAGAATCCACACAGGGGAGAAGCCATATAAATGCCTAGAATGTGGAAAGAGCTTCAATAATGGCGGAAATTTCAGTAATCATCAAAAAAACCACACTGGGGAGAAACCGTATAAATGCATGGAGTGTGGAAAGAACTTCCGCTTAAGTACCAGCCTTACTTTGCACCAAAGAACCCACACGGGTGAGAAACCGTATAAGTGCACCACCTGCGGGAAAAGCTTCAGTCAACATTCACACCTTTCCATTCACCAGAGAAGCCACACAGGAAAGAAACCATATCAATGCACAGAATGCGGAACGCGTTTCAGCTGTAAAGATAGCGTTACTCGTCATGAAAGGATGCATGCGCAGGAAAAACAGCCAAATGCAAAGACCTCCAGTGAAAAGAGGAAACTGCGCTTCAAAAAGCCATTGTAGAGCTTGTTCCAAGTTTTTATCAGAATTTTCCTAATTGGGTGTTTATTAAAGTTTGGGTCTACTGGCCCTTTTCCATATATTAAGTGTGCTAGATTTTAAATCAGCTTCTTCAAGAACTGTGCATGTTTGATTATCAAAATGCATCCATGCTTTTAACCAAATTGGAATAGTAGCTTCAAAGGGCTGTTGAATAGATGGAAAACCTGTGGATGCGGAGATCCAACTATATGTCCGGATCTGTGGCTTTCTGGAGAAAAACTTACCTCACTAACAAAGTGGGAAGGCTTTATTTCAAAAGCATACATTGGGGTACAAAACAAAATTCCAACTGACACTTTACATTTCCAATCCCTCAACCTGGCTCTCCCCTTCATTGCTCCCGTTTCCATCACAACTCTCTCCCTTGTTTCAAATATACACAGGCCAGGTCTAAGGCGTGGTCTAATTTCCTGGCTTCACACAAAACCAGGAAATAAGGTTATGACATTATAATTCTTTTATATAGTGGCTGGTGCTCTTTAGTTGTTTTTTTTACCCAGTTTGAATCCCTGGATGTTATTGAATGACAACTCCCATCGGTTCTGATTATCCATCTTGTGGAATCAGAATAATGGGAATTGTCACCCAATAGCGCTAGTTGCTCAGGAGTTGGAGAAAGGTTAAATGGCAATTTAGCATCAGACATCATATCCACACACCTTGTATCTAAATGCAAACCCCACTGTTCTGATTAACATTATGAATTGAAGATTTCAACTCCAGGGATGAAACCATATATTCATCTTAACTGGACCAAGACCCTTAGAGCCGCCAATCCCAATCCCCAGGAATTGCCATAGAGTCCTGTCAGAAGATTAAGCAAATTTCTAGAGATGGTATCTCTAGATCCTCCAACACAATGCTATAGTATGCAAAGGAATGGAAATGAGGGAATTTGATGGTGTTTAATCATTTATGCAGTTTGAAGGTCAGAAATGTAACCGCTGTGGATATGAGATTTTTACTGTGTAGTTCTTTTTTTAAATTTGCTTTTTTGAATGCTGATTTTACAGTGTTAATTAGTTTATCTGTATTCGAACATCAGTGAACATGAAATGTGTTTAAAAGAGAGATATAAATTCTCTTCCGTTCCTTCAGTTTGTGATATTTTCCATTTGGTTTTAAGAATATTTGTTTTGCCATTTTATACATGCTTGCCTCTAGAAAACTGATTGACCCAAAAATAAATAAAGTTGTAAGAATTTCTCAAAAAATGGCTGTCAACTATTCCCATATTTGGATATTCTATTTTTGTGATGCTTAATTTGTATATCATCATCATCATCATCCTACTACTAGATAATCCTCTGTTCATGACCAGCACTTATTTTTAAAGTTTTAACTATTATATCTGGCCATAGGTTTTTAAATTTCTGTTGTTATTATCTACCTGTGAGTTATACTAATTGTACACCTTCCCAGTGAGGCGCCCCTCTCCTCGGCATCGGGACCGCATTAAGTCACTTCTTTCCACAATTCCTGGTGATTGGATTTTCTTCTACTGTACTTGCCTAGCACCACCCTTGCTGCTTTCATAATAATAATATTATAATTATAATAATAAACTTTATTTATACCCCGCCACCATCTCCCTGATGGGGACTCGGAGCGGCTTACATGAGGCCAAGCCCAAAACAATTACAATAAAGAAAAATCAAGACACAACCGAAAACGCGAACAATAAACAATAACATCAACGGGGATGCAGACGCAGCCCTTTTTTAGCTCACCCCACCATATGCAGCAACCACAGATTTCGAGAGTTCACACAAACATGTTTTTCTCTTATCTTTGTTGGTGTTTTTCAAAACACTGAGAGGCACTGCAGATATAATGTTCTTTCCTGTTACAATTATCAAGATGATAGTGGTCTTTTCTTGACAAAGCCCGAGAGATTTGATTTTACACATTGGAAGTAATCTTTGAAAGCAATAATGTTAAGAAGAGTATCAAGAGCAGCGTGGTGTAACTTCTTGCAGTATGCCTGAGAAAAACTGTGTATAAAATTTGGGAAGAGGCTGGGGACGATTATGTCTAGGTGAAATTTGGAAAATAATAAAAATGCTATTTGTTGGGTTGTTGTAGGTTTTTCAGGCTATATGGCCATGTTCTAGAAGCATTCTCTCTTGACGTTTCGCCTGCATCTATGGCAAGCATCCTCAGAGGTTGTGAGGTCACAATTGCATCTATGTCAAAGGCTTTCATGGCCAGAATCACTGGGCTGTTGTAGGTTTTTTCGGGCTATGTGGCCACGTTCTAGAAGCATTCTCTCCTGACGTTTCGCCTGCATCTATGGCAAGCATCCTCTGAGGTTGTGAGGTCACAATGGCATCTATGGCAAGCATCCACAGAGGTTGTGACCTCACAACCTCTGAGGATGCTTGCCATAGATGCAGGTGAAACGTCAGGAGAGAATGCTTCTAGAACGTGGCCACATAGCCTGAAAAATCTACAACAACCCAGTGATTCCAGCCATGAAAGTCTTCAACCGTACATTGTATTTGTAACCTGCATCTCCTTGTAAATGACCACAGACTTCATTTTGCAAGAAGTTTTTGCTGCTTCTCTCTTTGGCTGTTCTTGTTGCTGAGAGAAGCAGCCAGAAAGGAGGAAAAAGAGGCTGGTGACCAACAATGATATTTCTGCTCATTCTGCTGCTTCTCCTGCTTCTTGTCGCCCATGAGAAGCAGGAGGCAAAATGTCTCTTGAATATGATACAGGGTCCAGCCAAAGCCTGGAATTATTACAGGCCAGGAGCCTACCTTATCAGTGGCATCCTAGCATTCAGGAATCCTTTCCATTTGAACCCACCAGTCTTTTTTCCTCTTGCTCCTTATCTTGGATCGTTCAGTAAGTTGCCTTGTCTTGTCTGCTTTTAAGAAATGTTGTTTTGTACTCAACACCCCATTTTTTATGGAACAATCACTAGTATCTGTGAAGTCCACCTCCTCCAAAGTGAACCGAACCACCCAAATTGGGCTTTACATTCTAATGGAGACTCCACCACAGACATCAGAAGAGCTGCAAGGCCAAGAACAAGCCACGAGAGTCAAGACAAAGATCCACCCAGATAAAAAGTGTCCTTACCATACATCAAGGGAACCGTCAAAGGCCGAAATCGCTGGGTTGCTGCAGGTCTTTGGGGCTGTATGGCCATGTTCTAGAAGCATTCTCTCCTGACGTATCGCCTTCTTCTGTGGCAAGCATCCTCACAACCTCT